ACACGGCAATGCATGGTGTCACAGGTGGTGCCACCCATCCCACCCCACCCCACCCCACCACACAACACGCACATGCAAGCATGCGCACGTGCCTCCCCTGCGCACCTCTTGCAGCAATGTGATGGCCTTAGAGCTGTTGAGCGTGTCATAGACGCCGGCACCAAAGTGGTCCAGCAGTGCCCTGGCTGTCTTGGGGCCCACCCCTGGGAGCAGCTCCGCTAGGTACCTGTGAGGTGAGGCACGGCACGCAGCATGGAGTGGGCCAAGGCATGCAGCACGGGGTGACTTTTGAGTCGACTCAAAGTCACCTTGGGGCCCACGCCTGGGAGCAGCTCCGCTAGGTGCCTGTGAGGTGAGGCACGGCACGGTTTTTGAGAAGTCTCAAAATCGGACCCACGCCTGGGAGCAGCTCACGCCTGGGAGCAGCTCAAGCAGCTCCGCTAGGTACCTGTGCGGTGAGGCACGGCACGCAGCATGGAGTGGGCCAAGGCATGCAGCACGGGGTGGGGGCCAAGGCATGGATCATGGAGAGCCGTGGGAAACAAAGAGGTCACGATGATGCAAGGTGAGGACGGGAGTGTGGGAAGCGGAGCGTGCGTTGAGCGATGCAGGCATAAGAGGGAGCAGTGCAGCACTGACGTTTCAATGTCCTCCGTCTCCTGGGGCAGCACTGCGTGCGCCTCTGTCGCTTTAAGCTGCGGGCCATACTTGCTGCTCACCCACCGCCCCATCACGCGCAGCTGTTGCCCGGCCTTCACACTCCCCACCACGCCCACCACTGCCAACTGCCCCGCCAGCATGTGCAGCTGTAGGGTCGCCCTCTCCTCCTTGCTCAGCCCCTCGCCCCCGCCCCGCCCCACTAACGCTGCTGCTCTTGCTCTCTCCACACTTATGCCCTCGTCAATGCTCAAAGCAGGCACACCCTCCCCTGCCGTGCTGCCCGCCCCCGCCTCTGCTGCACCTGCACCATTGCCAGGCTGCACGTGCGCCCCTGGAAGCTCTGAGAGCAGCTGTGTGGGCTGGGAGAGCATGGTGGAGACATTGAGTTTGAACACCATCCACCCGTTGCTCTCTGCCACCACGCGAGTCACCGTGCCCACCAGCTCAACCTGCTCCTCCTCTGCTGCGCGCTGCCTGTGCTGATGGGACCTGTGCTTCCTGTGTTGCGGCAGGGCAGCACGAGGGGCATAAGGGGCGTGCGAGGTGCCACTGGAGCCATGCCTCTCCGCCTCGCCACTGCGCGTCCCTGAGCTGTGCGGGGCGCCACCACCAGGCCTGTGCCCATGCACCGCCACGCCTGGTGCCATGGACGCTTGAGGGCCAGCAGCGCTGCCATTCACCCTGCGCCAGCTGCTGTGCCTCCTGCTCGTGCTGCCGCCGCCGCTGTGCTGTGCGCCTGCACTGCTCCTCTCCCCTTCTCCCGCCCCACGCATCGCTGCCACGCCTGCACGCCCATCGGAAGCACCACTCTCCCCGCCGTGCACGGGCGCGAATGGGCCTCGTTGGGCGTGCCGACGCGCCACTTGAGCCGCCAGCCTCTTCTTTGCGTCCACTCCTGCTGCTGCCCGCGCTGCCATCACCCCCTCCCACCCACGCGCAGCCGGCACAGCGCCATGCACCACTGCCTGTGAGGGCGAGGAGCCGGGTGCAAGGCCTGCACTGCCATTGCCACCACCACCCGCCTGCCACGCTCCCTCTGCTGCGCCTGCCTGCTGCACCTCCGCACGCGACGCTGGCGTTGCTGCTGCCGATGCCTCCTCCCTGCCCCCCGCCTCCCCCTCCCCCGCTGCGCCCACCTGCTGCTGCTCCTGAGCCTGCGCCACCTGCTCTTGCCCTTCCCCTCGCCTCTGCGCCTCGTCGCTGTCCCCCCCTGCCCCTGGTGCCATCACCGCATGTGTGCTTCTCGCCTGCCCATACGCCGTGTGAGCACCCACCAGCCGCCCCCTCATCCACAGCCTTTCCAGCCCCCCACCACTCTGCGCCGCCCGCCCCTCCCACCTCCGCCACCTCGCTCTTCCCCACGTTGCCGCCCCCCCCTGCGCATTACCCGCACTGCTCCCCCAGTCGGCGGCCACCACGCATGAGCGCGCGGAGTAGTGTGGGGCGCTGCTGGTGGCGGAGGGCGCGCGCGGGGCGAGGAGGTGCCGCGCGGACAGGTACGGTAGTATGGGGGAAGGGGCGCGCAGGGACTGGCGCGCAGCTAGGCATGAGAGCGGGCGACAGGTTTGCTTCTTGAGGCGCGCGGCGTGGTCGGCAGTGCGAGCAGCAGCGGTCGCAGCAGGCGCGGCAGCGGAAGGGCTGCGCGCGACGCTGCGAGGGGCGGGTGACGGCGACGCGGGCCAAGGCGAGAGGGCGGGCGGCGTTGGCATGGCGCGCAGGGAGGGCGCAAGGGGCAAGGCGTTGCAGAGCGGGGGGGCGGCGAGGAAAGAGCGCGCGGGAAGGCGAAGACGAGGAGGTTGAAGGAGCAGTAAGGAGGTGGAAAGCGCGTAGAGTGGGGCCCTGCCAGCCGCGCGCCTCATCGACCTCGTCTCGCCCGCGCTGCGCCGCCTCCTCTGCCCCACATGCCCCAACCGCTGCCCTGCTCTTATCGCGGCGAAAGCTCCGCTTCGGGAAAAGAAGGGCGGAAAAGCCGCGCGATCCGCGAGGAACTCACGCTGACCTTGCTCGAGGGGTGCTCAGCAACTCACACACGCCACGACATGGAACGGCGAGGCGATGAGGATCAGCGTCTCATGCTCTCCGCATGGCCGCCTTCAATGCAGTAAACACGTGACCATGCGCCCGTGGCACAGCGGCAACTATTCATTGCACCGCCACTGCATCCCCCGCCATCGGCCTAGCTCCCACCAACTCTGTCCACCTTCCCACATGGAACCTTCCTCCTCTGCGGAGCTCGACGGCAAATCCAAGCACCTTCTCTCACCAGTGTCCAGCTACTGTCACGCAGTACTTGGTCAGACAGCTTTCCCCCAGCGGTGGAAGTCGATCGAGAAACCTATTTTGTCAGGTTATTAGGGCGTGAAACATCTTTGTGGCACATACTTAGGGGCCGGCCCGGTTGTTGCGGGTTACCACATTTGCGAAACTCGCATACATAGCTGCGTCGCTCCCCTCCACTACATTGTGTCGCCTTCTGTCAACTGAAACGAACAACAAAACCCCGAAACCTACACTCTCAACACTACAGGAACAGTGATACTGCGACAATCAATAAGTGATACTGGATTCCGGGGACGATTCAACGGAGCGATCCTGAATGATCCAAAATCGAAACTTTGCCGAACTCAGGTTCTCACCGCTGCATAGCACATGTCGAACGCGGTGCAGTGTTGAGAAAGTTTACATTGCCTTGGTTTATCTTGTCGTCCCTTTCGCCCATCTCCTAGCATCTTCTTCCCCTGCAAACCCTTTCACCCAACTCCTCTATTCCCATCCTCACTGCCATCAACTTCTTCACGCCACGTCTTTGACGTTTCTTAGCACAAGTTACGCGGTTGTTTTAGAATCTCGAGTATGGAGGCTAGCACTGACATAAGTAGTCTCTCAGACTGCCTCCTTCTTGAGATCCTCAAGCGTTCTTGCAAGCAGCCTGGCGCGCCACGCACCCCGTATATTGACAGCCGCGTGTGGACGCCCGCATCCGCATCTTTACCCTTGGATATGTCGTAGCCAAGACGCCTATAGCATCCTCTCCTCCCCTCTCAGACATCGCTCAGAATCTCCTCCTCGCGTCCGTGTGCAGTCGTTGGCGTCACCTGATAAAGATTCACGTGACGGCTCTCTCCATTAAGTCCGGCCTCTTGGTGTCCTGCGATCATCTATCAGTCGCCGTCGCGCGCTTTACGAACCTCACGGATCTCCATCTGGGTGAAAGCAGCTTCGAGTCGTTCGACGATGACTTCCTCGCTCACCTCGCATCTTCATGCCCGAGACTGACGGCTCTCCACGTGGGAAGGAGCCCGCGATTGCTAAGTCAGTGGGCCCACCGGGTGACGTATCGTACAATGGAGAACCGTCGGATCACTACAGGCGGCTTGGATAGGTTCTTTCAAATGCTTCCAGGATTGAAGCAAGTTACCCTGTTCTGCCTCCACGAGAATACAGAGCTACCAGATTCACTTTTCCAGCTGAGTCAACTGCACACACTTCTTCTCACCAACGCTTCAACCGTGGAAAAGCCTGCATTTGCAAACCTTACTGCTACCACTTTGTACATCACCTTCCCTTGGGACCAACACCACCTATCCACCCTTCTTCACCTCCCAAGACTCACCCATCTGTACACCTTCGCGCCTCACGAAAACCATCAGCCTCTTGGTGTTGCAAGCGCGACTCAGACACCCTGCCTCAAATCGCTTAATTTCATGGTCTCTTGTCCCGACTTTGGTACCATCTTCCCATCAGCATCCCCCTTCACTGGGCTAGAGGAGCTTGTGATCACTCGTTGCAGTGACCTAGAGACCCTTCCTGACCACATCGGAGACTTGCTGCCACGCCTTCGCAAATTGTCCATTCGCGAGTGTGATAATTTCACTCACCTGCCCGAGAGCTTCACTTCTCTGAGCCGTCTGGAAGAGCTCGTTATCTGGTCATGTACCTACTTCACTTTACCCAGCAACTTCGGTCACCTGCCTGCCATCAGATTACTGGTGCTGTTTGATTCTCATTCCAGTGACCTCCCTCCTTCCTTCTGTCACCTCACGTGTCTCGAGGCACTCGTTATTGATGATTGCCGCCAGCTTGAGAAGCTGCCAGCAGATTTCTGTCGCTTGACGACTCTCAAGACGCTCTGCATAGCAAGATCTGGAGATATTTTCCTGCCAGAGGACGTGGGGGCCCTTGCAAATCTTGAGGCTCTCAAGCTGTTACACTGTCACAAGGAGCCCCTGCCAGATTCCTTCACCCAGCTAACTTCCCTGACCAGCCTTGAGCTGGAATCATGCTTTTGTAACGACGAGCTTCCAGACCTGGCCTCACTCAACAACCTCCGCTAGCTGAAGATGGTTAATGTTTATATCGCCACGATTCCTAGCTCACTGACAAGGCTTACAGCTCTGCAGATGTTGGAGGTGAGGTGCTGCCAGTGGCTCTCCCAAGTGCCCTCTCGGATGGATATGCTGGTGGGGCTGAAGACGCTGGTGCTGACGGAGTGTGAGGGGCTGAGAAGCCCCCCTGATCGATTGCCACCGTCTCTTGAGACCCTCTGCTTGGGACCGTTTGAGGAAGGCTGTGAGCATGTGGTGGACATCTCTGGGCTGTGGCAGCTGAGGGTGCTGAAGCTGAACCGTGTTGGGGTGCGACACGGGCCTGCAGTGAGCAGCCGGTTGCCGTGCCGGGAGCAGGGGGAGCAGGGGGAGCAGGGGGGGCAGGGGGAGCAGGGGGAGCGGGGGGAGGAGGGGGAGCAGGGGGAGCGGGGGGAGCAGGAGGAGCAGGGGGAGCAGGGGGGGCAGGGGGGGCAGGGGGTGCAGGTGCAGAATTTGGAGACGCTGGAGATGCGTTTGGATTATGACAAGCTAGAGCTCCCAATCCCCTTGACTTTTCTCCCCCGCCTGCGCAGCTTGCTGATAGATGCGCCTGAAGTCTGTAGCCTCCCGGAAAGCATGGGGGCAGCCATGCCACAGCTGCGGCAGCTGAAGCTGCTTTCTTGGTCACCGGAGGAGCTGCCAGAAAGCATTGGAGAGCTCCGTTCTCTGACGTCACTTACGATTGAAGCACCTCAGCTGTTGGCGCTACCTCAAGGCATGACCTGCTTGTCTCGGCTGCGCAGACTGAAGCTGAAATGCCGCTACGCCTTGCTGCAGAAGCACCCCCAGCCCGCCCAACCCCCCAACCCCCCCACAGCACCTTCTCGTGTCTCTTCGCGAGCGACTCCGCCCGCTCACACGCTGCACCGCCCGCTCACACGCTGCACCGCCTGATCGTACGCTGCACCGCCCGCTCGTACGCTGCACCGCCCGCTCGTACGCTGCACCGCCCGCTCGTACGCTGCACCGCCCGCTCGTACGCTGCACCGCCCGCTCGTACGCTGCACCGCCCGCTCGTACGCTGCACCGCCCGCTCGTACGCTGCACCGCCCGCTCGTACGCTGCACCGCCCGCTCGTACGCTGCACCGCCCCGCTCGTACGCTGCACCGCTCGCTCGTACGCTGCACCGCCCGCTCGTACGCTGCACCGCCCGCTCCCACGCTGCACCGCCCGCTCACACGCTGCACCGCCCGCTCACACGCTGCACCGCCCGCTCACACGCTGCACCGCCCGCTCACACGCTGCACCGCCCGCTCACACGCTGCACCGCCCGCTCACACGCTGCACCGCCCGCTCACACGCTGCACCGCCCGCTCACACGCTGCACCGCCCGCTCACACGCTGCACCGCCCGCTCATACGCTGCACCGCCCGCTCACACGCTGCACCGCCCGCTCACACGCTGCACCGCCCGCTCACACGCTGCACCGCCCCGCTCATACGCTGCACCGCCCGCTCACACGCTGCACCGCCCGCTCACACGCTGCACCGCCCGCTCACACGCTGCACCGCCCCGCTCACACGCTGCACCGCCCGCTCACACGCTGGCACCGCCCGCTCACACGCTGCACCGCCCGCTCCTACGCTGCACCGCCCGCTCACACGCTGCACCGCCCGCTCACACGCTGCACCGCCCGCTCACACGCTGCACCGCCCGCTCACACGCTGCACCGCCCGCTCACACGCTGCACCGCCCGCTCACACGCTGCACCGCCCGCTCATACGCTGCACCGCCCGCTCATACGCTGCACCGCCCGCTCATACTCTGCACCGCCCGCTCATACGCTGCACCGCCCGCTCATACGCTGCACCGCCCGCTCATACGCTGCACCGCCCGCTCATACGCTGCACCGCCCGCTCATACGCTGCACCGCCCGCTCATACGCTGCACTGCCTGCTCATACGATGGCCCCTTCTCTCAAGATGGGGAAAGGGGAGGAAGGGGGCAGTAGAGAAGGGTGACGGATGGAGGAAGCGCCTGAAGCGACTGAAGCGCCTGAAGCACATCCAGCATATGAACCAGATCAAGCGCCAGCAAGTTGATGCGGTGCTGTGTGGGCTACTGCGAGCGATAGGAGGAAGAGCACCAGGTCAGGTTCTCTCTGCTGCCCATGGCAGGCATGCAATGCGCAGGCTTGATGCTGAGATACGGATTATGACCACGCATGTGTAGACTCGTGCGTATGGCATTTACCAGTACTTGCCATGGCAGGTCTGGTGTATGCGCCTACGTGCGATCTACTGCTTCTCGGATCTTGACAAACACATGTTACCATTGATCAAGTCTGAAACCAGCAATCTCTTTCAACTTGCAGTGTAGCTCCTGCACAATATACTACGTGCCATGAAATAAGGAAGGTCTGCCAATGCCCTCCCACTAGGTACATACTACCGAATCTAACCTGCAGAGTGGCAGCAGTGACGAGCGAAGTGGTTATGGGCGGGCGAGAGGCGGCATGAGAAGCACCCAAGGATGTGAGCCGCCTACACGTTTGCTTCGGTGGGGGCAGAGACACGATAACACAGACGGGGGAGCAACGGAGTGACCCAGCAGGCACACAAGGAGCGAACGTGGAAACAGCAATTACAAGGCAGCTGCGAAGAAAGGACTGACAAGTGGAGCGGTGAGAGTTAAATGGCATGGCATGAGGATCCCAAAATCTGTGGCATGGAAACAGGTTGCATCGTCCCTGCCTGCACGCTTGGAGGAGGGTGGTGCAAGAAGAGGGAGGCGGGGGAATGTGCGATGAGGAGGAGAGAGTGAGGAGGAAAGGCAGTCTGTGGGAGTGAGTTACTGACGACAATGTAAACCATTTTAATAAGCCCCTCTCCGCCCATACGAATACCCCCCCAGTCTATTTCCATCCCCCCTGTGCATGTGAATTCAACCAACCCAATGTGAGATTCCTTGCCATCTGAACCACATCCAGAATCTACTGTTGGCACGAGCGGTCAATGAAGGAGATGGAAGGGAACCTGTGACGGCGCTCATGCAACACCACAGCCATGCCCCTCCGCACTGCTGCACGCTCCCTTGCGCTCCCCCGGCGCCTTGATGAAACGCCCACGCTGCACAGGAAGAGCTGCTGAGGCATGGGTGAGAGGGAGAAGAGCGAGCATGGTAGGGATGCGTCATGTGATGTCAAGGCGGATCTGAAGAGAAGTGGGTGCATAGCAAACCAAGACAAAGGAAAGGTAAGGATGCGCGGAGAACGGAAGTGGTGAGGTGGAAAGAAGGGAGGGAAGCGGGGAGGAAGCGAGGAGGAAAGCGGCGAGGGAAGACAGGAGGGAAGAGGGAGGGCGAGGATGTGGGTGGTGGTGGGGCCAATGGCGCTGGGTCCTATTTCTGCTCTGCATCAATCTCGTACAATCACATCAATCCCACCCCATCCCATCCCACCCCATCCCATCCCATCCCATTCCATCCCATTCCCATTCCATCCCATTCCCATTCCATCCTATCCAGTCACACCACACTGCATCGCAACACATCTAAACACATCACATCTGACCGTGCGGGTGACGCTGCAGCTCTCTGTAACGTGTTACAAAGAGCAGCGCCGTCACCCCCACAGTGAGCCCGAGCGCGTCCCCATGCTCCTGGCGCCGCTGGTGCATCCGCGGAAGGAACACCGCCGGGCCGTGGGTCGAGGGGGACAAGTCGGAGAGGAGGGGGGGGAGGCGGAGGAGGTGGTGGGAGGGGGGAGGTTGGTTGGGGGAGGGTGGGGAAGGAGGAGGGAGGCGGTAGAGGTCGAACGATTGACCAACGAAAGGCATGGAGGGCATGGGAGGAGCGGGAGAGGGTAATGGAAAGTGAGGGTGGGGAGTGGGGGGACGGGAGGGATATGAGAAGGGAGGTGAGTCGAGAATGGATGTGCCTCGAACAGCAGGAAAGACATGACGCAGTTTCTGGCGAAAGCGTCTTACACTGCAACGACGTGGCAGAAGCACGCCTTCAATGTCGTCTGGATCTGACGGGATGAGCGAAATGCTTTATTTCGAATGGCGAAACGGAGATGTATCAGTTGAAACGGAAAGAAACGGAATGTCGTATGCTAATCGAAAGAGTGATGTATTTCGCCAGAGTAGATTCGCTCTTGAAGATACCACGGAGAGCTGTTTTCGCCAACGTTTTCGCATTCAGCATGCGAGATCAGGACGAGCATCCACGGGACGTTGATGCGTAACAGCTGTGGTCCCCCCTCGCCACGCACTTGACTAACCATGCGCCGACACGTGCAAGAACTCAAACCTACATGCAGAGCTTGGTGCCATTTCAAGCAGTCAATCTCCCATCCATCCCATCTCACACAGCCACGCCACACCCCTCCCTCCTATTGCAGATCTCAACTCGATGTCCCATCGCAGCCCAGTAGGCAGAGAATTCCACCCCCCTACCATGCTGAATTCCCTTCCAGCATCCCTTATTCAAGTTCACCGATGGCGCTCCGATTCCTATCATTACCTGCAATTCACCATCATCCACATTGCTGCCGCTTTCGCGTCGCACACTTCTCCTTTCTGTGTTCTCAAGCTCCACATTTCTCTTCTCGCGCTTCCCCTTCCTCCATCCCTCCGTGTCATTTCTTCAGGCACACGCCAAGCCTCCGTGACATCAGCCTGTGGATCTCGGTTAGTACTTCCTTCCCCCCTGTTTAGTCTGCCAGGACAGATAGCTTCACGGAAAAGCTTGTAATTCCCGTCCGTCTTGCCTTGGCTTCACAGTAAGCTCATGGAGTCGTCACCCGTGCATGCCAGTCGCCTAGATCCGTCGCAATGTCTGACGAGTCCGCACTTGGCTGCTCAGCCACTCTATCCCTTCAGTTCCACTCTAAAAAGCGGTCGTTAACTCGGTTTCACGTGGTCCTTGGAAAAGGGGAAAAGTGGCCCATATGCCACTCCATTTACGGGGCACATGGGAAACCGCCGATTTCACCTCGTTACTTCCGCAGATTTTTCCAAAAACTGCCGATACCCCCACCTTTTTCTGATGGCGCAAATGACGTTTCGCCAGCTCGCCTGCTTGCGTGCTCGCCTGCTCGCATAGTAGCGCAAATGAGACTGTATCACGGGGCTTTGACTCTCACACTTGCGTAACTCATTCCCCTCCATCCACTCCATCTACCCCCTTTCGTCTACCCACCCGTTCTCGCTTATCCCCCTTGAGCAGCCTTAACGCACGACAAGGCAGTGTTCCCCTTTTGCCTTGTGTTCTCTCTCAGGTGCGCTGCTTCACCCCCCTGCCAGCAGCGCATTTGCGGGCGACGATTGCGCCTCACTCGTTCTGTCCTTGCTCTCTCTCTTTCTCTCTCTCTCTCTCTCTCTCTCTCTCTCTCTCTCTCTCTCTCTCTCTCTCCCTCTCTCTCTCCCTCTCTCTCTCTCTCTCTCTCTCTCTCTCTCTCTCTCTCTCTCTCTCTCTCTCTCTTTCTCTCTCTCGAATGGTCCTTGCATTACTTATATGGGCGGTACAATGGAAGATGCAAACGCACATGCACGACAATCATCCAAACCGGTATCCTATCCACCGCTAGTCCCCTACCTACTCCCCCCCCCCCCTGTCCGACCCTACTGGTCGAACGGGGCCTCAATCAACTGGTGCAGCTGTCCCTCACTGAGAGGGATGACGGGACCCCGAAAGCCGAGCTCATCCGCCGCCAAGGCCTCATTGGTCTTGGTGCGGAGGGCGTTGGCATGCGCCCGCTGGAGGCACACGCTCCAGCGCTGGCGGTACTCCGTCAGCAGCTTCGCTGCTTCGTAGGAGGTAGGAGCTGCGTTAAACCGCAGCTTGGCTGCCAGCTCCGCGCATTGCCGCAGGTAAGCCATCACCCCTGGCGAGGGGTAGCCGTAAGTCTCCACTGCAAGCGCGTGGAACCCCACCCACGCGTTCCGCCGCGCGTACTTCTCCTCCTTTCTTGCTGCTGCCGCCCTAGCCGCCCATCCAGGAGCACGATTGCAATTCTCGTCCTGGTATGACACCGGATCCGTCACGGTCACATCGCACATCCAAACCTCTCCAGTCAGGGGATGACGGATGGTGACATCCGCCTTTAGATTTTCAACCAGGGAGTAGACATACGTCTCCTTGTGAACCGTGAACCCCGCCTCCGCCCCAATGTTCGCTATCTCATCCCGCAGAGCGTGATGGGTTGCTGTCCTCCCTTTCCCCTTCTCGCAGCGCATGAGGTGGTTGGGGAGGCGGTCGTCGGGGAAGGTGGTGCGGTAGCGGCAGTCACAGCGTCTAGGCACGGGGAGGGGGAGGCCTAGGCGGAAGGCAGCTGCAGTTGAGAGCTGGGATGGGCCCATCCGGAGCGAGGGGATGAGCGGGATCGCCAGCAGCCAGTCCCCCGCGCCAGGGCCTAGCACCGACTGCATCCGTTGCGCATGGCCAGAGCGGGGGTTGGGGCGCATCCGCCTTGCCTCGCGCATGACTCTCAAGAAGCGGCGGGAGTGAACCGCCAGCGCTAGGCTCTGCTGCAGCTTCAGTCCCTTAGGGTCCGCCTTCCCGGCCTGGAGCACCTCGAGAGCCTCAGGTGGGAGAGCTGCCTCATCCGCAGCGAGGCGTGCAGGCAGCGCGTGCGGAGAACCGTGGGTTGGGTCCAGGAGGGGGAGGAGTGCAGCGACAGCAGGGTGCAACGAGTTCTCCAGGGAGTGCAGTAGGTGAGCGGCACTGATCACTGAAGCGAGGTAAGCGTAGCTGCCTTCAACCGCGGGGTCAGTGATGCCCAGACCTCCCAAGGTCACTGGCAGGGCCGCCTGCCGCCAAATCCTCCGTCTCTCCCTGGCACTCCTCGGCCTCATGATGTGGGCCGAATCCAGGAAGGTGTGCAGAAGCTGCTCCCCCCAGGCAGACCATTCAGCTTCAGGGAGGGCCTCCAGGGGGGTGGTTCTGGCCAGGAAGGATGCTCGCCGGCTGACACAGCGGGTAAGGAGGAGGAGGCTGAGCTGGGGGTCCATCTGGGCCAGCAGGGGGAGAGGGGCTGCTGCAGCTGCCAATCTTTCTCTCACAGCACCTGCGCAGCCCCGGGGTGTGCCTACAGGGCTGCCGAGAATCTGCAAGCCCTCTTTGGAGATAGAGATGCCTGGGGGAACTGAAGAGGGGTCAATAGCTGCGGCGGACCACGCCGCGCACTTGGCCGGGTTGTGTACCAGGCCGAGGGCGGCCAGTGCAGATGTGAGGTGGTCAAAGGCCGCCGTGCAGGCCGTGGCATCGCCGAGCAGCGTGATGTCATCGGCGTACGCCAGCAAGACCACCTGGGGATGTGCAGCTGCCGTGTCAACGAGGCACGGGTGGATGCTTGCCGCGAACAGGAGGGGCCCGAGCGGGTCACCTTGGCGAACACCTCTGGCGCTCTGCAGCGGGGCTGCGCCGAAGTCGTGGTCGAGGTAGAGCGTGGAGGGAGCCCCATAGGATAGGCGGACGAGGGGGATCAGATTCTTCAGCGCCTCGTTTTTCAGTCCCTCGAACACCGCCCTCCTTTCGACCGCGTTAAACGCGTTCGCGAGGTCAATCTGCAGCGCCACTGCCCCCGGGTGCACTTCCAGGTACGTGCGAGCGGTGTGGATAGCCGCTTCGATCCCCCCCGCTACTGCTACTCCGAACTGAAGCGGAGCAAAGTGATTACGAGCGGCAGGCGCGGTCAGAAAAAGGGCGGCTTTTGCAATAAGCCGGAGGAGACACTCCCCCACCGCGATCGGCCGCGTCCCTCCTTGTGGTTTCGTAAAGGCTAACAGGCGGGAGGCCGTTAGTAGCTCCCCCGCGACTGTGGGGAGTTTTCCTGCTAGAGCCGTGTTAGAGAGGGCGAGGAGGTGGGTGAGTACTTCGGCATTCCCTAAGGCTGCGTCGCGGATGTGCTCGAAGGTTGTTCCTGAGGGGCTGGCCCCGACTCCGTTGGGGAGCTTGGCGAGGAGGCGTCTGAAGTCGCGGGCCTCGATAGTGGGTGGCTCTTCCGCCGTGGCGGAGTGGAGCCAATCGGGGAGTTGTTGGCAGGCAGATGGATGTCTCGCCGTAAGGGCTTCCAACACTTCAGGTGAGGCGGGTGACACAGGAGTGGCCTGGAGGGATTGAAGTGATTTTGACAGGTTACCCCGTTTCGCGAGGCCTTCCGCCCTTGCCAGTATTCCAGTTGTGTCAGGAGCGTGGCGAGGTTGCGGTGGCAGGGAAACCGCCTGTACAGCTTCTTCGTAAAGTTTCGCCCAGAATCCTTGGCGAAATCGCAGGAGCCGATTCATCATCGCGCTCCAGTCAGGTTTGCGGGCTGACGAAGTGCAGAGGAGTAAGCGCGGGAGAAAGGTCAGTAATTTCCACCCAGGTGGAGACTCGGGATTGGCTGCCAGGTGGAGTAACGGTGTCAACATGCAGATCGCGAAGGAGTCGCGAAGGTCTTTGGGGGGGTGGCGAGCGAGTGGAGGTTGGCGACTGTCGCGCAGCGGGTCCAGGTCCCAGCCTGCAACCTGAGCGAAAAGGTCAGTATTTTTCGCCAGGTTGTCAGGTTTGAGCATTGGGGGGGTTGGGGTAGGGGCTGCAGAATTTTCATTGGCTGCTGCAGAGTCAATTCCTTCTCCTGTCGCGGCTCGATTTCCCCCCCTTGCACGGTTTCCCCCCGCGGTTCGATTTCGACCTGTGGTTCGGTTTGCAGGTTCGCCTCGGGCCTGCTGGTTTGGGAACTCCGCTCCCCGAAGCATCTGCTCCAACTCCTCCTCGTCCTCCTCGGCTTCTGCTTCCAACATCCCCTCTCTTTCTGGGTTAAAAGCAGGGTCACCCCCTTCGCTTTCTTCATTCTCGACTTCGACCTCAGCCTCCTCGCTGGGCACCTCCTCGCCGCCTTCTGCGCCTTCACGCATTAGCCTCTCTACGGTCCTCGCGTAACCGCTTGCGCCGGTGCGGCGCCGATTTGTGCCGCGCGCTCCTCCGCCTCTTCGACCTCTCCCGTTCCCTCGTCGACCGCGGCGGCTGCTGCCGCGTCCCACGCGGATTCCCCGCGTTCCTCTTCCTCCAGCACCTCCCGCGCGTTCTGTCTGCGGCGCCTCGTCAGCCTCGTCCCCACTTGGTCGGCGCACTGGCGTCGGCTGCGGTGCTGTCGGGGGTGATGGATCCATCCGCGAGACGGGATCCGGAGCTCGAGGGTTCCGCGGAGAGCGCGCTGCCGGAGCCTGCGCCTGCCGGGCATCGCCCGCGTGTCCCTGCGCACCCCTCCGCGAGCGAGCCCGTCCGCCGCTTCGAGCGGGTGCTAACTCTTCCCCATCGGCCTGCCGCGCGCCCCACCTCGCCGGAGTACTCGTGGGCCCCTGCACGTGTTGCGTCAAACCGCTCGGACGGTCAGCCGCGGCAGGAGCGTGGGCGCTCACCTCCGCGTCAGCCTCCTCGGCAGCCCTCTCCTCGCCGCCCATCTCCTGAGCGTCGCGAAGCTCGTCAGCGTAGGGAGGGCGATCAGCGGTCCCCTGCGCGTCCTCGTTCTCCTCGCCGCCCATCCCCCCGTGGTCGAGCAGGCCAGCGCTCACCCCGAGCGCGATCCCCCGCGCAACGCTCTCCGCGGCGATCTCCGGCGACGCGGGGGAGGGGGTCGCCTGGACGTCGTTGGGATTCGGGCCGGCGCGAGCAGTGCCCTCCGCGCCCGCAATCGGCTGGATCTGGAGGTCGGCGGGGCCGGCGGAATGGGGGTGGGCGCGGCGGTAATGGTAGCGGGCAGGATCCTGCCTCGACCGGGCCACGAATGCGTTTGCGGAAGTGGTGCGGCAGGCGCGGGCGAGTGGGGAGCCGACTCACGTACACATTGAGGTGACCAGCGGACCTCCCTTCGCCGCGGACCCAGGCCAGGTGGCTCCTCTGCGTGCGCCGACGCTGCGCGAGTATATGCCCGCGCGGGAGGGGAGGGCTCAGTTTCGCAACCCTCGTCAGGTCCCGGGCTTTCCCGCGCCGCGCATCTCTGTTGGCCGGACGCCTGGCTGGTCAACGGCGTTTCCGCGCGAAGCGCCGACTGCACCTCCCCCCACTCACGTGGGGAGAGACCCCATGCTGACCATGTGCCGGATTCTGAATCTGGCGGAGGCGTGCGAGGTGGTGGCGAACTTGCAGCTGGCGGTGTGTGGGGCCACGCGGAACTTTCCGAGCAGTTACGGTCCAGGATCCCGAGGGTCCTGCGTGTCTTTGGCAGAATCGCTCGAGTCGCCGTTGGCACCCGTGTCGGAAGCGCCCGCCGGGGTAGCGCCCTTAGTGCGTACCTTCCCCCGCCACGTGGGGGATCTTGTAGGGGCTGCTCGAGTAGGGACCCCAGTGGACACCCTTCAGTCGTCGGCGCATCTTCTCCTTGCGATGTCGGCGTGCATGCGCTCGATGCTTGAAGTGGAGGGGGCGGAGCCGTACACGATGTAGGCCTTCGCCTAGTGTAGAACTGCATGCCGTCCTGCCTTGTTTAATCCCTGCTCCCTTGCTTCCTTGCGTGTGTGTAGTTCACGGTGTTGCAATCCTCTGCTTTGTTCCTTGCCACCTGGAGCACGCGGCCGAAGGCCGCGCTGGCGAAAATGGAACACACACGAAATAATGAGGCAAAGAAGGCACAGAGGGGCCTTAAATAGGCTCAGAGGAAGAGGGCAGAGGGAAGAGGAAGAGGGCTGGGTGCTAAGGCCTTCCTCTCTCTCGCTCTCTCTTCCGCCGAAAATGGAACACACACGAAATAATGAGGCAAAGAAGGCACAGAGGGGCCTTAAATAGGCTCAGAGGAAGAGGGCAGAGGGAAGAGGAAGAGGGCTGGGTGCTAAGGCCTTCCTCTCTCTCGCTCTCTCTTCCGCCGAAAATGGAACACACACGAAATAATGAGGCAAAGAAGGCACAGAGGGGCCTTAAATAGGCTCAGAGGAAGAGGGCAGAGGGAAGAGGAAGAGGGCTGGGTGCTAAGGCCTTCCTCTCTCTCGCTCTCTTCCGCCGAAAATGGAACACACACGAAATAATGAGGCAAAGAAGGCACAGAGGGGCCTTAAATAGGCTCAGAGGAAGAGGGCAGAGGGAAGAGGAAGAGGGCTGGGTGCTAAGGCCTTCCTCTCTCTCTCTCTCTCTCTCTCTCTCTCTCTCTCTCTCTCTCTCTCTCTCTCTCTCCCTCTCTCTCTCCCTCTCTCTCTCCCTCTCTCTCTCCCTCTCTCTCTCCCTCTCTCTCTCCCTCTCTCTCTCTCCCTCTCTCTCTCTCTCTCTCTCTCTCTCTCTCTCTCTCTCTCCCTCTCTCTCTCTCTCTCTCCCTCTCTCTCTCTCTCTCCCTCTCTCTCTCCCTCTCCCTCTCTCTCTCCCTCTCCCTCCCTCCCTCTCCCTCCCTCTCTCCCTCTCCCTCCCTCTCCCTCTCTCTCTCTCTCTCTCCCTCTCTCTCTCTCTCTCTCTCTCTCTCTCTCTCTCTCTCTCTCTCTCTCTCTCTCTCTCTCTCTCTCAAGCGGTCCGTGTATTAGATCCAAGCAAATACAGACATGCAAAGGATAGAGATGCTACTCATACAAATCATCTTCTAACCCACACATCCCACTCACCCCCCTCCCCCTCTGCTCCGTCTAAGGGAGCTCCAGCACCGGCTCTAAGATGGCCAGGCAGTCCCCAAGGGACATGCCCTCGCCTGGCATCTCCGCAGGTGGGTTCTCCACCTGTGCCGCGTAGTTGCATTTCTCCATAAAGCTCACCGACTGAGCACGCTGCAGCGTATGAGCGGGCGGTGCAGCGTGTGAGCGGGCGGTGCAGCGTACGAGCGGGCGGTGCAGCGTACGAGCGGGCGGTGCAGCGTACGAGCGGGCGGTGCAGCGTACGAGCGGGCGGTGCAGCGTACGAGCGGGCAGTGCAGCGTACGAGCGGGCGGTGCAGCGTACGAGCGGGCGGTGCAGCGTACGAGCGGGCGGTGCAGCGTGTGAGCGGGCGGTGCAGCGTGTGAGCGGGCGGTGCAGCGTACGAGCGGGCGGTGCAGCGTGTGAGCGGGCGGTGCAGCGTATGAGCGGGCGGTGCAGCGTGTGAGCGGGCGGTGCAGCGTGTGAGCGGGCGGTGCAGCGTGTGAGCGGGCGGTGCAGCGTCTGAGCGGGCGGTGCAGCGTGTGAGCGGGCGGTGCAGCGTGTGAGCGGGCGGTGCAGCGTGTGAGCGGGCGGTGCAGCGTGTGAGCGGGCGGTGCAGCGTGTGAGCGGGCGGTGCAGCGTGTGAGCGGGCGGTGCAGCGTGTGAGCGGGCGGTGCAGCGTGTGAGCGGGCGGTGCAGCGTACGAGCGGGCGGTGCAGCGTGTGAGCGGGCGGTGCAGCGTACGAGCGGGCGGTGCAGCGTACGAGCGGGCGGTGCAGCGTACGAGCGGGCGGTGCAGCGTACGAGCGGGCGGTGCAGCGTACGAGCGGGCGGTGCAGCGTACGAGCGGGCGGTGCAGCGTACGAGCGGGCGGTGCAGCGTACGAGCGGGCGGTGCAGCGTGTGAGCGGGCGGTGCAGCGTACGAGCGGGCGGAGTCGCTCGCGAAGAGACACGAGAAGGTGCTGTGGGGGGGTTGGGGTGTTGGGCGGGCTGGGGGGTTGGGGGGTTGGGTGGGGGGTTTGATGGATGATTTCAGGGTTGCGTGGGTGAGGGGATGGGTGCGTGGATGGGTGGGTAGGTGGCTGGGCTAGCAGAAGAGCAATCAACACAGTGCTACTGGCAGCATGCGTGGGTGGTTAAGTCGCGTGGCAAGGAGAAGAGCGTTAGCGAGGAGAATTTGGGTGGCTAAGTTGGGTGCTCGCGTGCCTAAACCCTGGGTGCATCTGGTAGCGCATCGAGACATATCACACAGGGAGTTAAAACAGCCTCTTTTGTGGCATATCTGACCACCCCGTTCCATCAATTCTCACCCCTCGCTCCCCCTTCCCCTCTCCATGTCCCTCTCCTTGTCCCTCTCCTTTTTTTCTCCCTCTCTTCTGCCTCTCCACTTTCCCCGTCGCGTCCCCTCTCCACTCTCCTTATCTCTTTTTTTTCTCCCTCTCTCCACTCTCCTTATCTCTTATTTTTCCCCGTCGCCTCCCATCTTCGCCACTTTCCCCGTTCCCTCCCCTCTCCCCCCCCCCCCCCCCCCCCCCCCCCCTTTTCCAACTGTGCTCCCTGCAGGAGCGGGAGAAGCGGGCGCGCAAGAGGGCAGCAGCAGCAGGTGTCCCATACGTGGAAGGGGCAGCAGAGGCGCCAGCAGAGGGCGACGCCCCAGACGACACCACCAGAAGAGCCTCTGCAGCCGAGGAGACCAGCAGAAGAGCAGTTGAGTGAACATATATGAGTTCCAGCTAATCTCACCTTCCCCTCTCCGCTCATATATGTTACCAGCGCCGCTGCCAACAGCAAGGGCGACGCGGGCAAGGGCGGAGAGGAGGAAGAAGAGGCGGGGCTGGTCGAGGAGGGAGCAGCGTGGGCGGCAGGCGCTGGTGGCACTGAGGAAGAAGAAGAGTGGGTGGATGAGTGGGGGTGCCCTCTGGGGGGTGCTAGGCTGGTTCTTGTTTTGGTCGCTATAATCATTGTTTACTTTGTGGTGAGTGTGGTGCGCTGGTTGTGAGTGTGGTGCGCTGGTTGTGAGTGCGGTGCGCTGGTTGTGAGTGCGGTGCGCTGGTTGTGAGTGTGGTGCGCTGGTTGTGAGTGTGGTGCGCTGGTTGTGAGTGTGGTGCGCTGGTTGTGAGTGTGGTGCGCTGGTTGTGAGTGTGGTGCGCTGGTTGTGAGTGTGGTGCGCTGGTCGTGAGTGTGGTGCGCTGGTTGTGAGTGTGGTGCGCTGGTTGTGAGTGTGGTGCGCTGGTTGTGAGTGTGGTGCGCTGGTTGTGAGTGTGGTGCGCTGGTTGTGAGTGTGGTGCGCTGGTTGTGAGTGTGGTGCGCTGGTTGTGAGTGTGGTGAGTGTGGGTGGTTTGGTGATCTAGTGTGAGTGGCCGGCTTGTCTCGCACGCACACGCATACTGTACCCTGCACCACACTTGTGCACCAGGATGCACTTTACCCTGCACCACACTTGTGCATCATGTGAATGTACCTTGCTCCTGTTTCCCCCTTGTCTCCCTCCCACCATCTCTTCATGCCTCTGTCCCAAGCAGCAGAAGGCACTGAACCCAGCAGAGCCCCATATTTGAGGCTGAATGCCAGATGCACTGCAGCTTGGCACACACCACGGCGGTTGGTGCAGTCCAAGTGCTTATACAAGCAGCATGTTTGCATCTTGCTTTCCATACACTACGGGAGGAGCACCCTTGCTTTCAGCTCTAGCAAGACTCATCTGTGGCAATCCATACTCAGCAGCAGATTGTTGCTTGCACCATTTGCCTTCATTGCAGCTACCAATGCATAGGTACTGAATCACTGATGATGCTGTTCAAGTGGTACCAGTGCTCTAATACCGTATGATCAAGGAGCGAATCAACTTTCAACATCTCATTTCTGCACACCTGGGCACCGGTGAAGCAAACGAGCACACACTCAACATCGTACCAGAGCCTGAGTGTTTGTTCCCAATCGGGCGACTTTGTCTATGTACAATGCATACAAAGGAAGTTAGCATGCCACCTTTCTGCCGAACCAAGCAACAACGCACGTCACTGCAAGCAAGAAAGTTTGCAGAGCGCACAGCAGAACTGGCCTACCGTATCATCACTCATCCCATCTCCCCTTCAACTGGCTGGACTCCAGCTTTCAACCCAACCGTCCCTCCCTATCCACTGCCCCCATCCCACTGCCCTCCGCTCCTCCCGTGGCCCCACCTCCCGCCTGCTCCCTACCGTGTGGTCGGAGATGGGGCGGGCTGGGTCTGGGCACGGCGCAGGGTGCGGAGTGAGAGAGCGCCCCTCATCCACCCCGCCTTCTCCCAACCCCCTCTCCCACATCCCTTCTCCCCATTCCCCCTTCTCCAGTCTCCACTACCCCCAAATCTCCCACCCGCCGTCTTCACTCTCCCGCCCCCCCCTCCTCATTCCCACTAGTTGGGGCGCCCACTTTAGATTGCTGACGGGATTTTTCAGCTTCGAACATTGCACGCCCCAAGTTCGGATGGGGCTGGAATGAGGGTAAAAAAAACAAAACAATGAAATAAATAGGTTGAAAATATGGAATTGCACAAGGAAAACATGTGAACTTAATTGATATGTCATTTGTGTGCAAAGCAAAAGAATGACATGCACATGAACAAAACAGTCGCCACGAGACATGACTTACTTGAGAAATTGTTGTGTAACGTAATATGTGAGTCCATGGTTCAACCTTATTGCGTTTGTCGCAATACGTGTTCGCACTCTGCAGCACGAAGAACAAGATGGATACCATAGTCAGAGAAAAGAAGGGAGACTAAAGCGGACAGGCCAAAACGGGGGTATTTTGATGGGAAAATTTATATATATATGTTTTTTCTCGTAGAGGTCTTATCTCACCTCCAGGTTAAAGGGCAGCACATTCACGTCTTGTTCCTCGATTGAGAGAACCTTGCATGGCCACGGGCCATACTCAACCAATTTCACCCAAACTGAATCGCCTATTTTAATGGGTGGATGACACGGCAACGCCATTTTGCAACTCCGACTCTTAGATCCTGCATTCAGACAAGGAGGCAAGTGGAGGAGACATAAGGACAGAACAGGTGGGTGACAAGAGAGAGAGAGAGAGAGAGAGAGAGAGAGAGAGAGAGAGAGACCTGGATGACCCGAAGAAGGCAGATGTGATTGTACAAGACCCTGACAGCGGAGAGACCTGGATCACAGACACCACTATCACTGACCCCGTGCTGCAGAACCGAGACCCCATGGCCCGCAAACCCCCAGGCTGGGCTGCAAGGGAGGCACAGAAGCGGAAGGAGAGGGACTACTACCGACACACTGAACACGTGGTGTTCTGCGCCCTGGCCGTCGAGACCTATGGGGCAAACGAGCCCCCCACGACGGCGTTCCTGAAGCTGCTGGCCACAGCAGCAGCTAGGAACCGCTTCAGGGCCAGCCCCTTGGCGAAATCCGCCAAGAAGATGGCCAGCCACTTCAGCCAGCGCTGGTCAGTGGCCCTCCAGCGCTCCCAGGCGAACGCCCTGCACACCAAGGCCAGGGCTGGGATTGAGGCAGCACACCCCCAGATGGCAGCGGACCCCTGGCCGCTGCACCTGGGGGACATCCTCCACACGCTGGAGGGCTAGAGGGTCACTCGGGGGGGGGGGGGGAAGAGGGGTGAGTTGATGGGCTTATGGGATTGAGGTTGTCATGGATAGAACTGCATGTCTGTACCCCTGCTGAATTAATACAACGGACCATTTGAGAGAGAGAGAGAGAGAGAGAGAGAGAGAGAGAGAGAGAGAGAGAGAGAGAGAGAGAGAGAGAGAGGATTAGCCTCTCCCCTTCTACCCTCTGCCCTCTGTTTCCAGCCTTCTGCCATGAGTACTTAAGGCCACGGTGGCCTCTTCATCTCTCATTCTTACAGTTGGTGCTGAAAATTTCGGTGTTTCGCTCGAGAGAGCGAGAGAGAGAGGATTAGCCTCTCCCCTTCTACCCTCTGCCCTCTGTTTCCAGCCTTCTGCCATGAGTACTTAAGGCCACGGTGGCCTCTTCATCTCTCATTCTTACAGTTGGTGCTGAAAATTTCGGTGTTTCGCTCGAGAGAGCGAGAGAGAGAGGATTAGCCTCTCCCCTTCTACCCTCTGCCCTCTGTTTCCAGCCTTCTGCCATGAGTACTTAAGGCCACGGTGGCCTCTTCATCTCTCATTCTTACAGTTGGTGCTGAAAATTTCGGCGCTTCGCGCCGGCGCTACGCGCCGACGCTCGCGTGCGCGGCCTCCGGCCGCGCGTTAGGGAACGACAAGAAGACAATAAGGATGATGGTCAACATGACAACAACAGCAAGAACAACAAGCAAGGACTAGGCAACAAACAATGGAGCGGGTCTACACACGCGCAAAGGGGGCCCCTACATGCGGTCGGCCCCAAGCTCACCAAGCGTTTCGCGCGAGGTCAGCCACATCTGGTGGACCACTGACGCGATGGCGCCAACAACGTCAACTGGAGTTCCACGCGTTGCAACAAGCGTCCTCAGATCCAGGACCTTCACAGCCAAACGGTTGGCCGAGGCTACAACCGCGGAGGGCGCAACCGGCAGTGATGCGACATACGAGAATAGTGTTGACGCCGCCGCGTGACACTTTGCTCGCGGCCTCTGAGAGAATGTGCTCGGCGGGTTCACCGACATGGAGTCAAGGGACTCCACAAGGAGCATGGAGTCATGGGACTCCAGAAGGATCAACCCAAGACTCTGCAGGCACTCCGCCAGCGACCACAGGCGTGCTAGGGTCGTCGTGGGCACTTCCTTCATCAGCGGAGGAAGGGCGGACGACCGAGCTCGGCGGGAAGACACGGCTAGATCGCGAGGAGCAGGGAGAGGATGTGGCGGAGAGTACGGGGCCCACGGATCCCCGCCAGCAGCACCAACAAATCCACCTCCCGCAGGCAGCGGCCGATCTGAGCGCGCCGGGGAACCAACGGGGTTGTGCGGCAGAAGAGCAGCAAGAGGAGCGACGCGACCAGAGGGCGGAATGGACCGCGACGACGATGCAGCATTCGAACGGTGGAGAGCTTTCTCCACGCCGTCAAGCTTTTCCAACACACGCTCCATCTCGGACGGTACGGGACGCGCCGCACCACCACGTCCATATCCGCCTCGACGCCCACGACGACCTCGACCGCTTGCGTTCGAGCGCGCGGGCGACTGGGGGCGGGATGAGGCATGCTGACGGCGGCGTTCAGGGGATCGGCCCTTGCGACGAGGAGAGTCGAGCCGTTGGCGCTTTGCCGGACGAGGCGAACGAGGAGGCGAACGCGGGCGGGTGGTATGGTGAGCTGGCGATCGGTGGCGAGAGGGAGGACGAGCGGGCGAACGATGACGGCGGGATCGGTGGTCACGAGACTGGCTACGAGACTCGACGCGACGAGGAGATCGCGGCGAACGATGCAGGCGCGGAGATCGTGACGATCGCGGCTCAAGGTGACGACCGCCACGGCGGCTCCCCTGCCTGTCGTCACGCGCCTCAGACAAACGACGGCGAGGCGATCGTGCCCGGGGCGCCGCAGCCTCTACGCCGGAGCGCACGACGGACGCCTGGCGGGCAGGCTCCTTCTGCGGCAGGGAATTTCCGCCACGTGGAGTCAGATCGCGCCGCAGATCCTCGAAGCGACGGCGTATCTGATCAGCAGATGCCAGCGGAGCAACGGGCACGCTCGCAGCGGGACGCGCGGGGGGGAGCGGACGGGGAGCAGAACCGCTCTCCGCGATGCGCTCCCGACCATGGCCGCCATCAGCAGACATTGGAGCGCGGGGAGGATGTCGCTCGCTCAGCAGGCGGTCGACGTGGCGGACGGGGAGCAGCGGGACGCGGACGACGGGCTAGCGGAGGAGGACCTGAGAATGTGTATCAACAATCGGGACGGAGGGCTTTAAACGAGCTGGAAGATGATAATGAGGAGACATCATCAGGCAGCAGCTTTGTACCTGCGGAATCCACAGACTCGACTTCTAGCTCTGAGTCTGTGGATGAACCCCAAACCCAGACTCCTGCTAGAGCAACCAGAGCAGCCCCAACTCACAGGGCGGGAGGATCCTCAGTTGCGAGATCCACACGGAGGGGACCCCCAACACCAACCCGAGCCGCATCGGGCAACATTGCAAACCCCCCACCCCCACCACCAATTTCCCACACTCCAACCCATTCCCGAGCCGCCCCACAATCTGCACCTGGCAGTAACCCCATCCCAACCCACGCGCGAGAGGAAAAATCCCCAGAAACACTCGCCAAGGACGACGTGCTATTCGCTGGGGTTGGAAGATGGGACCTGACGAAATTGCGCGACAGTCGCCACGCACCACTCTCCCGCCACCTCCCACCCGACCCTCGCAAACTTTTCGCCACCGCCCTGCTGGTACCTCTGCTGCGGTTGGCGAACGATCCAGACTCACACTCTGCTTGGGTCGTCCTCTTGTTCCTCGCACGACTCACACTTCGCCAGCTGTCACCCAGGCGTCCAGATTGGAAGGCAGTCAGCGCACGACTTAGCAAATTCATGTGTGGGGACTGGGATGAGCTGTACAAGGACACCGTGGACTCACTGACCCGTCCCCAGCCACCCAGACACCAGCCGGATGACATTGGGGTCATCGCGAGAGCTGAGGGGCTAGCTCGACGTGGCAGCCTGCGACGGGCCGTCATGGCCTTAGAGGCCACGCCAGTTTGCACGCCATCGCCGGCTGTGCTGGAGGCACTACGCGCCAAGCACCCACCTGCGCCCGCCTCCCCACCTGACTGGATATTTCCCACACCAGACCCTCACCTCTCGGCGCCTTACGAGGTCTTCTCCAAGGTTTTGGGTCGGTGTGAGATGGGAGTAGGAGCTGGGCCATCAGGAACAACATTCGAACACCTGCGGGACGCATCTCTGATCAACGCTTCAGTGGGGAAGCACCTGCATGCGCTAGTCAACACCATACTCACTGGAAAATTACCTCTCGCAATAGCCGAACTCCTCACCGCCTCTCGCCTGATTGCCCTTACCAAACCAGGAGGGGGGACGAGGCCGATAGCCATCGGCGAAAGCATCACTCGCCTCGCTGCCAAAACAGCTCTTACCTTGACGGCGGGCGCCGCTCGAGATTTCTTCTTACCTCATCAATTCGGTGTAGCGGTTCCAGGGGGAGCAGAGGCGATCATCCACATCACGCGAACCTTTCTTACCGTCAACCCTGGAGCGCTCGTTCTGCAGGCCGACCTGGCGAACGCTTTCAATAGTGTTAACCGAGGGGCCATCGCGGAGTCGCTTCGAGGTTCGACGCTAGCTCCGCTACTGCCACTCGTGAAACTGTCATATGGCCACCCCTCTTCCCTATGCCTGGATGCCGGATTCTCGCACCCACCACTCTTTAGCGAAACCGGGGTGAGGCAGGGAGATCCCCTCGGCCCCTTGCTGTTTGCTGCCGCCATTCACCCCGCGTTGACAAGCACGGCACTTACCTTCCCGTCCGTGGTATGCCTGGCATACGCGGACGACGTCACTTTTCTTGGAGAAGCAGCGGCTTGTGCGGCGGCGTTTGGGCACTTCACAGGAAGCCTTGGGGAGATTGGGCTACAACACAACCCCGCTAAGTGTGCGGCATGGTCACAGGCAGGCCGTCAGTCAACACCCCTGCCGCAGGGCGTACCTTTCATTGATGACGGCGTGAAGGTGCTGGGCAGCTTCGTCGGCGGAAACGACGCAACTGCAGCGTTCCTACGCGACAGCCTTAACACAATGGGAGCCCCACTTCGCCTAATTGCGAGAATGGAGCCACAGCTGGCGTCTCTCCTGCTTACCAGATGCATCTCGCGGCGAGTCTCCTATGTCGCGCGCACCACTCCGCTCTCTCCCTTGCCAGTGGAGGAATGGTCGGACTGGGGCAAGGGATTGTTTGACACACTGTTGACGGCTTGCGGCATTCGACACCCACGGGGGGAGGCTGAGATAGCACGGACCTGGGCCCAAGCCTCACTCCCGATCTCACTTGGAGGCTTGGGTCTGACGGACCCGTCGGAGGAGGGTCGCGTAGGGTTCTTGGCGAGCTACACGCAGGCGCAGCATTTGCTCACCTCCATTGACGAGGCGGCGGTCGGCGCCTTGGCAGAAACACGGATCCAGATGGCGGGACCCTACCTCAACACGTCCCCGCTGTTTGACTGGTTGGAGAGGTGCGAGGAGATGTTGCCGGAGGACGGGAAGGAGCTGCTGCAGAGCGACCGCGCCGAACCCAAAGGCATCAAGCTGCAGCACGGGCTGGCAATCGCGGTCCACGGACGCCGCTACGCCGAGCAGGTCCAAACCACGCGCGACATGCCGCTCAACCCCCTTAGCGGGCACACGCAACGTATGCTCTCCCTCTCGGGGTATGGGGCAGGGGACTGGCTCAACGCGGTCCCCTTTAACAAGTCGCTGCGCCTGGCTCCAGATCACTTCGCCCACGCACTGCAGTTCCGAATGGGGCTTCCCTCCTCTGCACCTGGGGCTTGTGACTGCCGCAACAACACGGCAATCACAGACCGACGGCTGCCCAACCACCTTCTGCGCTGTGACACAGGGAAGGGGAGGACCAACACCCATAATGAGCTGCGGGATGAGTGCCTCCGGATGGCCAACGACGCGGACTTCATGACTCATGGAGAGACAACCGCATTCTGCCCCGTCACTAGGAAGAAGGCGGACATAGCAATCAGGGACAAGTCCTCGGGGGCGGTTTGGATTGGGGACGTGACAATCACGGACCCCATCAGCACCCGTGACCCCAACGCAGTCAAGGGCAGGGGGTGGGCAGCCCGTGAAGCGGCGGAGAAGAAGATCTCCGACTACGAAGGCTCAACGGCTTCGTGGGTCGGATTCTTCCCACTCGCCGTTGACACCTACGGCTGCCCTTGCGAGGAAGTGCCACCGCCCGCTCATACGCTGCACCGCCCGCTCATACGCTGCACCGCCCGCTCATACGCTGCACCGCCCGCTCATACGCTGCACCGCCCGCTCATACGCTGCACCGCCCGCTCATACGCTGCACCGCCCGCTCATACGCTGCACCGCCCGCTCATACGCTGCACCGCCCACTCATACGCTGCACTGCCTGCTCATACGATGGCCCCTTCTCTCAAGATGGGGAAAGGGGAGGAAGGGGCAGTAGAGAAGGGTGACGGATGGAGGAAGCGCCTGAAGCGACTGAAGCGACTGAAGCGACTGAAGCACATCCAGCATATGAACCAGATCAAGCGCCAGCAAGTTGATGCGGTGCTGTGTGGGCTACTGCGAGCGATAGGAGGAAGAGCACGAGGTTCTCTGTGCTGCCCATGGCAGGCATGCAATGCGCAGGCTTGATGCTGAGATACGGATTATGACCACGCATGTGTAGACTCGTGCGTATGTGCTTGCATGTACCACTACTTGGCATGGCGCGCCTACGTGCGATCTACTGCTTCTCGGATCTTGACCATTGATGAAGTCTGCACCCAGCAATCTCTTTCAACTTGCACAATATACTACGTGCCATGAAATAAGGAAGGTATGCCAATGCCCTCCCACTAGGTACATACTACCGACTCTAACCTGCAGAGTGGCAGCAGTGACGAGCGAATCGGTTATAAGCGGGCGAGAGGCGGCATGAGAAGCACCCAAGGATGTGAGCCGCCTGCACGTTTGCTTCGGTGGGGGCAGAGACAGGATAACACAGTCGGGGGAGCAACGGAGTGACCCAGCAGGCACACAAGGAGCGAACGTGGATAGAGCAATTACAAGACAGCGGCGAAGAAAGGACTGACAAGTGGAGCGGTGAGAGTTGAATGGCAGGGCATGAGGATCCCAAAATCTGTGGCATGGAAACAGGTTGCATCGTCCCTGCCTGCACGCTTGGGGGAGGGTGGTGCAAGAAGAGGGAGGCGGGGGAATGTGCGATGAGGAGGAGAGAGTGAGGAGGAAAGGCAGTCTGTGGGAGTGAGTTACTGACGACAATGTAAACCATTTTAATAAGCCCCTCTCCGCCCATACGAATACCCCCCAGTCTATTTCCATCCCCCCTGTGCATGTGAAATCAACCAACCCAATGTGAGATTCCTTGCCATCTGAACCACGTCCAAACTCTACTGTTGGCACGAGCGGTCAATGAAGGAGATGGGAGGGAACCTGCGACAGCGCTCATGCAGCACCACAGCCATGACACTCCGCTCTGCTGCACGCCCCCTTGCGCTCCCGCAACGCCTTGATGAAACGCCCACGCTGCACAGGAAGAGCTGCTGAGGCATGGGTGGAGGGAGAGAAGAGCGAGCATGGTAGGGATGCATCATGTGATGTCAAGGCGGATCTGAAGAGAAGTGGGTGCATAGCAAACCAAGACAAAGGAAAGGTAAGGATGCGAGGAGAACGGAAGTGGTGAGGTGGAAAGCGGGGAGGGAAGCGGGGAGGAAGCAAGGAGGAAAGCGGCGAGGGAAGACAGGAGGGAAGAGGGAGGGCGAGGACGTGGGTGGTGGTGGGGCCAATGACGCTGGGTCCTATTTCTGCTCTGCATGCATCTCGTACAATCACATCAATCCCACCCCATCCCATCCCATCCCATCCCATCCCATCCCATCCCATCCCATCCCATTCCCATTCCCATTCCATCCCATCCAGTCACACCACACTGCATCGCAACACATCTAAACACCCCATCACATTGATCCCACCCCATCCCATCCCACCCCATCCCATCCCATCCCATCCCATCCCATTCCCATTCCCATTCCATCCCATCCAGTCACACCCCATCGCAACACCCCATCACAGGATCCCAGCAGCAGGATCCCCATGGTGCTGGCGCCACTGGTGCCGCACAACTGCCCGGGTTCACCGTGGGGGTGACGCTGCAGCTGTTTGTAACTTCGTGGTACAAAGAGCAGCGCCGTCTCCCCCACAGTGAGCCCGAGCGCGTCCCCTTGCTGCTGGCGCCGCTGGTGCATCCGCGGAAGGAACACCGCCGGGCCGTGGGTCGAGGGGGACAAGTCGGAGAGGAGTGGGGGGAGGCGGAGGAGGTGGTGGGAGGGGGGAGGTTGGTTGGGGGAGGGTGGGGAAGGAGGAGGGAGGCGGTAGCAGTCAAACAATTGACCAACGAAAGCCTGGAGGGCATGGGAGGAGCGGGAGAGGGTAATGGAAAGGGAGGGTGGGGAGTGGGGGGACGGGAGGGATATGAGAAGGGAGGTGAGTCGAGAATGGATGTGCCTCGAACAGCAGGAAAGACATGACGCAGTTTCTGGCGAAAACGTCTTACACTGCAATGACGTGGCAGAAGCACGCCTTCAATGTCGTCTAGATCTGACGGGATGAACGAGATGGCGAAACGGAGATGTATCAGTTGAAACGGAAAGAAACGCAATGTCGTATGCTAGTCGAAAGAGATGTATTTCGCCAGAGTAGATTCGCTCTTGAAGATACCACGGAGAGCTGTTTTCGCCAACGTTTTCGCATTCAGCATGCGAGATCAGGACGAGCATCCACGGGACGTTGATGCGTAACAGCTGTGGTCCCCCCTCGCCACGCACTTGACTAACCATGCGCCGCCACGTGCAAGAAGTCAAACCTACATGCATAGTACCACGCGGGGGACCAGAGCTTGGTGATATTTCAAGCAGTGGATCTCCCATCCATCCCATCCATCTCACACAGCCACGCCACACCCCTCCCTCTTATTGCAGATCTCAACTCGATGTCCCATCGCAGCACAGTAGGCAGAGAAGTCCACCCCCCTACCATGCTGAATTCCCTTCCAGCATCCCTTACTCATTCAAGTTCACCGATGGCGCTCCGGTTCCTATCATTACCTGCAATTCACCATCATCCACATTGCTGCCGCTTTCGCGTCGCACACTTCTGGCCCACGCCACTCAGCCACGCCAAGCCTCCGTGACATAAGCCTGTGGATCTCGGTTAGTACTTCCTTCCCCCCTGTTTAGTCAGCCAGGACAGATCGCTTCGCGGAAAAGCTTGTAGTTCCCGTCGGTCTTGCCTTGGCTTCACAATAAGCTCTTTGAGTCGTCACCCGTGCGTGTCAGTCGCCCTAGATCCGTCGCAATGTCAGACGAGTCCGCACAGCTGGTCCTCCGGAATGACGATTTGCTCGCCAAGATCCTGCACTGCGCTGCTCAGCCCAACCAGATCGGGCAAGCACTGGTGTGCAAGAGATGGCGTGACCTAGCCTATAGCGTGCAGGACGTCATTCACCTCTCCGATTGCCCTCGCGTGAATTATCGCCAGCTGCTTGAACAGCTCGCGGCATTCCCTAGGCTCAAGAAACTGCTCCTTTTGGACAGAACTTTGCGCATCGTTCCGGACGAGTTTCTGGCCGGCGTGGCCCGCGCGCATGCCGGTCTGGTGGAGCTTCGCATTGACCTTGCAGATGAGGACCTGGTCGAATGGCGCAGCAGCAGAAAATTCACTGCCAAAGGACTCGCGGACTTATTTGCGGGTTGTTCGAACCTAGAAAATCTGTGCCTCAAATATCCGTCGTGTATCAGCATTCCGCCTTCCATCAGCAACTTATCTCGACTCAGGAGCCTCCTCCTCTTCGCCGATGAGATTCAGCATCTTCCCGACGCCATCACCTCTTTGCGGTTTCTCGAGGACTTCGAGCTCCTTTCCGACAATCTGCAAGAATTGCCAAACGATTTTGGCAGCCTCGTGTCACTGAAGACATTGAGGCTTGTCGTGCGCTCTCTCCGCTCTCTACCAGCATCCATTGAGCATCTTTTCAATCTACACCAGCTTTCTATCAACCACTGCAGGACATTCCAGTTACCAGGTGGTCTTGCCAAGCTTCAACAACTGAAAGAGCTTCAGCTTGTTGATTTCCAAGAGCTCCTGCCGCTGCCTGAGGATTTTGGGAGTTTGCCGGCATTGGAGTGCCTAGTCGTCA